AAAGCGCGATTTAAATATTTTTTCGTTTTATTCTCATCGTATTTCAAAAATACGTTACGAGAATTGAATCGACGGTTGGAAAAATGATAAAAAGATGATATACTTCTAGGGATTAAAATTCAATAGACAAGAAGCACCTTTTCAGGAGGTCCGCTATAACAGAAAGTTCCCTTTAGCAGCATTTATCGTACAGAAAAACAAAGCAGACCATCTTCTGAAAAATTTACACATACTTCCGTTGCGTGTAGCGATTACAAGGTGCGCTAGTGAATGCAAGAAACTATCGAAAATGCTCTACGAGTTCAAGGCATGAGTGGATATGATATTTGGCAGGCATTGATTGGTGGCTGCCGAAAGTGTTTCAAGGCGTCTACCACATTCAGTAATAGAGGTTAGACTAGTTGCTTATAAAGGCTGATTGGATATCGCTTATATAGAGCAAATTAGAATCAACTGGGTCAGCTTAAACAGGCGTTATGAGTGGTTACGCGAAGATGTCGCCGGGTTTTGATGAAAGGCATTTACCTGACTTCTGTATAGTTTTCCAATTGCGGTTTTCAACTGTAACGCTTGGTGTTGAAAATTGTTCCACGGGATTTAAACATTACCACTTGAGTAAGTCTTCGAAAAGCTGAATCTGAGTGCATATTTTTAAAACATCTTTAGATTTTTTTTTTAGCGAAGCGAAGCCAAATATCGCGATTTTAACCTTTTTGTTTGTGTGCATACTTTCAAATTTCTTTACGCAACTATGTGAAAATGTTACGAATTTAAAGACTTAGACTCAGTCCTTAACAGATTCTACAGGTACTGATTAAATCTATTTGCCTTTATATATGTTAATATTTAGAAGAAAATCGGTTGATGTTAGTAGAAAAACCACGTGAATATATCGCGTATTAGTAAAAGTCATCATCACAGCCAGAAATGATCCGTCGGCCAAACTAGATTAGCATGTGTTCATAACAATAAGTTATCTGCACATTTTTAGATGCAAAACTGAAAAGGAAAGTTTGTAAGATACTGAAAAACACTTATTGCAGTAAAATTATGAAGGGATGTGGAAAAATATTAAAGCGGGAAAATATTATCGAGGCTATTAATTAATAATGGTTATAAGGTTGTATTGTTTCTCTTGCTTTATGTAGAGGACATACTTTATATGTGTAAGCACGATGATTTTTGATAGTACAGGTAGAGGAGATGGAGAAGAGGAAGTAGGATTTTTTATTGCTTTAATGAAATGATTTAATGTGCGAACGTGTGCACCTATAGCTTCCATAGTTCTTTGCTTTGTATATTACTTACAGTGAAGGCCTTTATTAAGCGCGTGGGGATGTAAGCAACCTCCAGAAGGACTTCAGACAGATCCACCTTTTAATTTACCAATCGATTCAGAGAATGGTTCTAAGCTTGTCTGTTCGTCTGTCCGCATAGGTTCTTTGTGTTCAACTTGTAGGCCGCAAATTTTTGAGATATTTTGACAAAATTTAGTACACTGACGTGTGCTGATGCAAGCGTGAACGCTATTGATAATGGTAAGGATGGTAGCACTTTTTCAATCACAAATGAAAACCTAGCTAGATAAACTCGAAAAGCCTTCGCCAATGAATGAAAAGATATATATAATCGATTGTCAATGAATCTGTAACGATTCGAAATAAAGATCTCTAATATGCTCAAGAGCGATGATGTTAACTGAAGATTAATGGCAGACAAATTGGGAATTACTCTTGACAACGGTTGTGTAAAAAATCGAGAGGCATTTATATCCGTATTCATCTAGACATAGTTCTAAGTTTCTCTTAAAAAAAAAAAAACTATAACAAATATTTTCTCATCTTTTTTTTTTCATCGATTTAAACGACTATTTATATGTTGAATAATGAAGTCGGAAAATTGTTATGGAAGCCGAATTTTCAAAAAAGCAGATTTTTCGAGTAAAGGCAAAGCGCCGTTTTTCTCTTCCTGAAAACTTGTTTGTGTCAATCTTCCGATAATAACACAAAATCCGCTTCAGATCCTTTAATGATTTACTATTAGATTTTAAAAACAATTCTCTGCCTTCATCATATTGTTTCCATTGCAAAGTTCTTTCCTTGATATGAAAAGCTGTACTAGGAGATATATGAAATGTGAAAATATCTGACTACAATTATGAATTAAAATTTCTTTTGGCCGCAAACGCATCACGTTCTTACATTCCCTGTTTACACATTCTCTCGATTCAATTTAACTATTGATAGGTTTGTCTTCTTGTTTGTTGCTTCAAAATGTTCGAATTTCTACAGGGCGTAAATTCATCGTAAGATTCTCACTACTGTTGATAAATCGGTTGTTTTTTGCTTATGCGTAGGCATTCTTGCAAGATGCGGAAGCGTTTCTCACAAAGTTGTTGCTTTCATTTTAAGGCCAAGATCATGATGTTAACTTTAGCTGGTGCCAATGTTTTCCGCTAATCTTCCAATACTTTGCAAATCAAAGCTATCACTTAATGGCTATAGGTCTCTTCCATCACTTACTTCCACCGAACTTTACACGGACCGTATTAATGGCACACTGTTGTCACTCACAACTCCGCAATAATTTACATAAATTTCTTTTACGTTTAAAAAACATTTCATTTAATTGACATTTTTCTCTATTCATGCCATGATCCTTGAACAGCACAACTTTCAGGTGAAAATTCTTGAAATTTAGTAAAAATTCATGTTTAGAAAGACGTTAAGCAAGGACGTCATTGCTCCTATTCATTATTCTGATAAAAGCTCTTTATAGTTATTTTTCCTTTCACACTTCCACACTATGAGAAAATAAAGACACGAAGACGGTTATGATTGATGCTTCATAGACACGATTTTGAATTCAATAACAATGTCAAGGTCATTATGCTTACAGAGAAATAATTTTTAAACTTTGGTGTGAATCGTATGCCGGCAATTAAGCCTAACATAAAATGTACGAGTTCCAAAATAATTTTCTTACCGGTCCAACCATTTTTCTTTCATTCTTATCAGTCCGTGCATTATATTATATTCATGAATATCACTCAGCCCTATTATCTCAATGTTAACTGGATGGTAACGGCATTTGGTTTGGAAAGATTAGTGGCACCAATTATTTCGTTGTCTTTGAGGATGAAGCTGCCACAAGAAGTCATCAATAGGTCGCAAACAAAGCAGTTGACAAAGGCGGAAGCTTGCGGCGGAAGATTGTCATTAAGATTTTTGACATAAACAAACTTTAATTAGAACAACAACTTTGATTAGCAACAACTAAAGTCAATATAAATATAGATGAAAGAATCCAATATACTAACCAATGGTCTAAACTAATCCCAGGCTCAAATGAACCTTTACTTATTCAAATGGAAGCTTTTCTTTTACAACGCGCCGAGCATCAGACTCGCTAAATATCTGAAGAAGAAGAAGCATTTATACATAGAGAACATAACGTACTTGCATGCGAAACTTAGAGCGGATTTTTTATCGGCCCCTTTTTTTACTTATGTAAAAAAATGCATTTTCCGCTAAAAATGTGATGGTTGGAAAGCTAAAAGCAAAGACGCGTCTTCATTTTTAGCCACGGACTCGTGCATTTTCGTAAGGAAATTGTACGCAGAAATCACAAACACTTTGTAATAAAAATTTAGAAACAAACAACACACTTCCCCGTCGTAAATGGTCGTGAGAAGCCGTAGCCAATGGTGTAGAGGTGACGATATCTTTGCAATGAAAGTTTAAAGGAATGTTTGTAAATATTAAAAAACATTTCCGCCTGAAGCGATATCTCCTCATAATCTCATTTCGCCACCAATTCACGAGTACTGACCGTACATAGGAAAATTATGCATATAAAGCCAAAAGAAAATCTTTGTAAGGAGAGTTAAGGAGAGTGCATAGCATTCGCCTTATGTTCTTGAGGTTCCGTTGGAAGATCTGTTGCGTACGTTGCAATTCATCTGTTTGATATTTGCTTGTTCTATAGCAACGATGAGGGAGGAAGTTAACTTTAGCTGCTTTATTTAAGAGCCGATTTGTCTACTAAATGGCTTATGGTGTTTAAAAAATATTACTTTAAATTTCTCGGTTCGCCTTCGGAGGCATGCGACAGCCAAAAAAGCCAAGCTAAACTGTTGCCGTATTATTATCCGTCATGCTTGGGTTTCATATCGAAAGGCATAGTTACTAGTGAAAGATGCTTACAGATATAAGCTCCATAAGACCGTATTACTGTATTAATATGGTAAAAGGCAAAAAGGTAATGTAAGAAACGCGTATAGATAACTGATCACATTAAATAAATAATCGGTGGACTAACAGTAGCACTTAGATGTAACATTAATTGCAATGACAAAAGTTATTTAAAGAAATACTTTAGTTACCAAATATCACTTTTTCTTTTTTTTTTTTTTTATAATTAACATAGTGGAGAGCCACTTTCTGATTTTAAGTTAATAACACCGCACACAATAAAGTGAAGTTTTAATTGCTGCCGCACCGCTCGAGTTTTAAATGAATTGTTTATTGTTTTTAATTTGATTTAAAAGTACGCCAAGATGTACTTACAGATAATTAAAGGCATAAACGGTTTGTTTTGTTTCAAAATTTCTTAAATAACCTTTAACCTTTTATACAAAATAAAGTGCAATAACCATTAATTGTAGATCTATTTGATCTGTCTGCATAGCACTAATAAATAACACAATTCACTTTTGCTTATATATTTACATAAATATATATATATATAGATACGTATATATAGATGTATATCTACATTTGTTTTTGTACTAATTGTTTGTTCGACTTTCTCTCTCTCTCTCTCTCTCTCTCTCTCTCTCTTTCTCTTTCTCTATTAGCATTTGTTATTATTATAGAGCAGTGTTGTTACCGGCGGGCAATAGACAATTTTGATGGCTAATGCTTTGCAATTTTTTACGCATAAAACACGATACAAGAACATAACGGATAAGGGCTTGGATAACCGAAAGATATACTTACTTATCACATCGTGTCCGTGACAATCTAAATCCAGATGATGATTCATGACCAGCGACGGTTGTAATCCAGTTTGATTGTGATTGTGCAATGGTAGCTGGTGAGCCAAATGGCCACCAATCTCTGCCATTACCATATATTATGCTTTAAACGGTGCGAGTTTTGTAACAAAGAAAAATTCAAAGAAACTTAAAATGTTTACTACGACTTCTTGAGCACGACAATAACAACAACAAATACAAAATATGGTACAATAATCGCTTTTCCATATGAGAACTTTTTCAAAAATGATTGATGTGTCGCGTTAAAGATTGAAAAAAAAAAAAAAAAAAATTCCGAAAGCTTGCTTTTCCTTAACGCATCACTATTGCGACAATTCAAAATAATTTTTGAGCAAATCTATGCACAACGTACGTACGTAGATGCAAGTACATTGGTGCTGCAATGTGGGCATTTATTTTAGTGGGTTGAAGTTTAAGGCACTAATTTTTTTTTTTTTTTTTTATTTATTTATTTATCTATTTATTTTTTTTTTCCTCTTTTTATTTAAAATTTTTTAGTAATTTTTCTCAGTTAGAAACCGTGTACAATAAATTCGGGTATTTTGCTTCTTTTTTTTCTTTATTATAATTTTGTTTATTTTTTAAGGACTTTTTCACAAAACTAGCAGATGTGTGGTTTTTTTTTTTTTTTTTTTTTTTTGCAGAGCGCGTTTAACGATTTCCACGGTACGCAGAGTTGTATTCTCTAGGTATATATCGTCAACAATTGCACTTCGTATATAACGTTAACGCTTTGCAAAGTCTCACGTACGACTAAACGTTAGAGTATGTGAACTGCTGTTGTGGCTGTTAATGGTAGAGGTGTTGTCCGGGCGGTTGATTGTATTTAGATGTATTGTGTACATGTGTACATGTATGATTTCTGAACTCGAAAATTTTGCTTAATGCGTAAGCATGTGTTTAGCTGACAGTCCAACCCCTTTTCGAACATATTTCTGTACCGTTCGCTCTTGCTGCGAGTGAAAGAGAAGTAAAAGGTTTTTCAACCAGTTTTCTCGTTATGTAGTGTTTCGTTTATTTTTTTTGTTCTTTCTTATGAAAGGGGAAGTGTTCGGTGTTTGTTTGTCGTGCAGGTAGGTGTGCGTACATTTCGAATATATTCGAAATAATAAACAGGTGTTATTGTAGGCTCAAGGTGTCTTCTCTTTTTTCCTTGCTATCGATTATAATTCTTATGCTGCTTTATAAAACGTAAGCATTAACATCCTACCGACTTATATATATATATATTTACGCATGTATATATATATATGTAATAATCAAGTTCTCTTTCTCTTTCTCTGTCTCTTTCTGTGTGTCTTCCTCTTCTTTGCGCGCTCTCTCTCTCTCTCTCTTTCTCTCTCTTTGAGTATCGTTATTTTGATTTTGTTAGTGTTTTTGTTTTTCTGTGGTGTTCTAAATGGCGTCTTCACAGGCCAATCGTCTCATAAAGTAGAGCATGCGCGTTTGTCTGACGATAATATGGAGAGCACAAGTTTGTTGCCAGCCCCACCTTCTCACCATTAATATAAGTTTCCTGTTGTTAAATATATTCAACGCAGCACAGAGCCAAAAACTCAAAGCACACAGTTTAAATTTGAAAAGTGTTTCTCTATATAACGGTCTTTAAATGCTTTCGATTCATTGAAATTTAAAGATATTTTCTCTTGCAGCCGTCAAAGCCGCAACTTATTATTTAAAATATATATATTTATATATGTATACCGTATACCATAAAATCATTGATACCTATATAAACATACAGCCATACATATCCATACATATATATCAAAAATTTTGCTGCCATAGCCAGGGCGAATATGCGTATAAGTGTCGAGTGAGTGTGTTGCGAGTATGGTTTGTGTGTGTATTCAGCCGTACATGTATTTCGAGTTTTCAAAAGTATGAAAATAAAAATAATAATAAAAAAAGAGAAAAACAAAAAAAAAAAAAAAAAACGTTGAACAAAAACAGTTGCTGTTGCTGTTATTGTTCTTACTATTGCTGTTGTTGTTATTGTTGTTGTTGTTGCTGTTGTTGTCGCTGTTCGGCTTAAAGGAAACACCCTCAATGGTTTTCTCAATAGACAAAAGTTTTCGTTGCATTTTGCGTTGTGTCCTATGTGTAGCTACAATATGGGTGGGTTGGGTGCTTACTTACTTACTTACAATTTATTCTCGGTTCTCGTCTATCTTTACGATTTCTTTGTTAAATTTGCTAAAGTTTGCCATTTTGTGCCACTGTGTTATCGAGCAGATTGCTTTACAAAATGGTAGGTAACTGTTTCCATTTCCAAGAGATTCATGTTTCGTTTATTTCTTTTTTATCCCGTTTGCCGTTTTCTTTCTTGTCATTAACTTGTGGGTTGTTCTCCCTGTTATGTTCACTTAAAGTGCCGTTGCATGTGTTTGCAAGTGTAAATTGTAAATGTGTTTGTGCTTGTGCGTGTGTGCGCATTTGTATATGTAAAAAATCATCGCTACAATGCCTTGTCAGACCACAACAATAACTTTTCAACTCTTTTTCTGTCTTTTTCGGTCGCTGCCTACATTTCCATACACATATAAATTAATATGTGTGTATGCACGTATATGAATGGCTGTACGTAATTATTGATCTTTTGATTTTAAGCCTGTTGGGATGTCTGTCTACAAAGCCTTTTGCTTGCTTTACACACGTATAAACATCTATCTACATGAGCATACAAGCACACGCATGCACGCAAACACGTTATATACATATATATATATATATATATATAAATATTTTACTTGTTATTATTGTTACTGTAGTTTCTGATATTTTACGTTTGGTAAAACTTTCATGACTGACATGGAGGAGCGTTTAGTTGTTTATATACACACTGACAGGCATTTATATCTCGTTCTCGTTCATAAGAGAAACATACAAATTGGTGGAACAAAATAAAAAAAAATAAAAAAAAAAGCAAAAAAACATAAAAACTTTTCAACTAAAAGTAAAAAAGTTATGAACTGAGAAAATGAACGACGTACAAAACACCAATGCTGCTCAGCTGCATTTGGCAGCGCTCTACAGCATTTTCTGTAAATAGAAAATTGTTTACTTATTTCTTTTTTGTTCCTTTTGCTCTTACGAAAATCGATTACAATAGAACGTGGAGAAAAGGGAAAAGAAGACAAAAAAAAAAAGAAAAGAAAAAAACTATATATTTGTTGTTGTTCTTGTTTGCCTTTTCAAACTAATTTAGAAGTTTTTCAAAAAGTTAATATTAAATTTATTTTTGTTTCAACTTAAATTGCTTTTGAGTTAAACGAAATTATTAATATATAGTGCATATACATATTATTTTACGGTCTTCTTGATGAAAAAGACATTCTACGTTATTTATTGAACGCGTATATTCTCTGACGGTAAATAACTAAAATCAAAAGATGCTCGATAAGTAGTATGCCGGACATTTTGTCAAGGGCATAGTAAAAAGCAAAGAGTAGTGCACTCCGCTGTACAAGAAGTCTGTCGAACTAGTAGAACTGTAGATTTTGCTACAGACTTCGGTAACGCTTTTCCCATAACGGCAAGGCATTAAGAGTTCGTACTAAACGCTTTCTTTGGAGTTACGTAAGACAGCAAGTAAGCTCCCAAGTACAGTATTATAAGATAAAAAAGTGGGTCAGTTTCATTACAAACAATATTCTATCAAAAATCAGTTGAGCTTTTCCAAACACATATTTTATTCCCAGCAGCAAAGCTTTAGGGACTGTTAACCTGCGATATATTTCATGGTCCCCGAAATAAGTTTTGGGTTTGGCTGTTGTGTTTTGCAAAGATTCTTCAAGAAGTTGCACACGAAACAAATCAAATCTACAGAGAGGAGGCAAGAAAGAGACATAGGGATAGTCGAGTTCAAAGTTCAAAGTTTTTATTTGTTTATCTATCTCCATTCGCCTTGATTAACCCGAAAGCCAATCTCTCTTTTCTTCGTCCTCTTTCGTCAAAGCTTTAAAATGTGTTAACTTGCGAAGCATTTGATAAGAAAAGACAATAAATCGAAGACCCTGATATGCTTTGGGCTTGACTGAATTTTAAAATGGTCTTTACAAAAGTTTGCCATGAAGCAGGCAAAGGGACACAAAGAAAGTGAAGACAAAACATGATCGCTCTGAGTTTTCATTCATTTCTGCATCTCCATCGATCTTAATTTACTCAGAAATTTATGTTTTCTTCGCGACAAGTCTTCAAGTCTCCAGATGACATGAGAGACTTCTACTAACTGTCTGAGACTGTCATAACGCGAAGATTTCTTTTCAAGCGATGTCAATAATATTAGCAAATGTGTAAAACGGTAATGGTTTGGAGGGGGGTTCTACGATATTCCTCCCTAGAGTCTTAGTTCAATGCGAGGATTAAGTTAAATGCTGCCGCCTGCAAAGGTTTGTGCAATGTACTCTTTATTGGTCTAATCGAGATTAAATCGGCATGAGGTTCCACGTTCATCTAATTTCTACTTAGAGAAGCTAAACTGATTTTAAGGGATTTGACTTTTAAAGGCCAGAAATTTAACATTTATTGTACGGTATATAAAAGAATCAGATCAAATAGACATCGTAAGGGGTTAAAACAAAAACCCAACACATTATTTATTAACATTTCTATAGTTGACTTGTATTTCGTGTGTTATTTAGTTTTCAGATATTGAGTATCGGCTGATAATCGTTTCTTGTAGCTGAATAAATCAAATCAATAACACGATATTGATGTCATTCAAATATTTCAATTTATGTATGAATGAATTGAAGTGAACCAACCATAAGTAGGTAGTAGAGTAGTGTAGATAGATTTTATATTTTGAAAAAGATCAAACAATTCTTCTTATTCTAATAATAACAATTCTGGAGTGGTTAGGTAATTATAAATTCCTTGCCTTCGAATCATAAGTCGATGACAACAGAGAAGTAGTGAAGAATGCGAAAAACTTGTTGTCATTCTGCTGTGCTTCGATCGCTAATAGCATTTGCAATAATTTTCGATTTCAGATGAGGGAAACTGCTTGATGTTTCCATGTGCTGAGATTTGATCAAATGTGTTTTTCTAATAAGAGAAAACAAAAAATATATATATAAATAAATCTACGGGTTAAAGTGACTAATCCTTGTAATATTACTGATGTGAAGTTAGCTCGCTGTATATGGCCCACATTTTTGTCTCTGCTAAAGGATGGGTTATCTTCGCACTGGGTTCGTGTCTATACTATTGATATTGAACGATACTGAAACAATAACAAAATGATTAGAAAAATTAAAGAAATACAAGCGTAAATAGAACAAGAAATCATACAGAAATGTTATAATAAAAACAATTTTTTGCTTCTATTTACCGTATAGTGTATGCATATTTTTTAAAGGATCAGAAAAACATAAATTCATTACTCTGGGCCCGGTCCATCACCGTAAAATTCGCCCCAAACGTGACTTGTCCATCTACACAAGACACTAAATGCAAAAAGTCGTTATAATCTTGCCAATGCAATGTTCGATCTTCTATGCATATTATTGTTGTTTTTGTTTTAATGTTGCTTATGTGAAAGAGCATTTTTCAATCCTTTTAAAATTTTTCTTGCGTTGAAAGAAA